CCCGGGTTCAAGTGATTCTCCTGCCTCAGCCTCCCAAGTAGCTGGGATTACAGGCATGTGCCACCACGCCTGGCTAATTTTTTGTATTTTTAGTAGAGACGAGGTTTCTCCATGTTGATCAGGCTGGTCTCAAACTCCCGACCTCAGGTGATCCGCCCACCTCGGCCTCCCAAAGTGCTGGGATTACAAACGTGAGTCACCGTGCCCAGCCTTAAATGAATTCTTTCGTGAACAAATACTTTCAGAAGATGCGTAGAAATCTTTGAAGATGATTTGAATCATTGAGAACTTAAATTATTTAATGTGAGAGGAAGCTATATATTTGAAGTACAGATGTTTCTAACAAGGCTCAGATTATCATAGTAGCTATATTTTGTTTCAATAATGAAATACATGAAGAACTAATTTCATTTTGTGCCGTTAAAATGAAGATGTATCAGGGAAGATATATTCTTGAAAATAAGTGACTTTGTGAATACAAAACAATGTATATTAGAGAATTTCCTGGGATAATGATAGTGTTTTGACTTTATTCGAGTTTAGGTTGCATACATATATGCACTTGTTCAAATTTATGAAATGGTAGACTCATAATTTGCACATTTCAGTACATGTAAAATTGCAAAAAAAAAAAGGAATAATACATATTAAATTCTAGTTAATGCTATGCATGCTGGACTATTAGAGGGAAACTATATTAATGTGTTTGACTTACTTCGAAATGCATTAAAAAAACCCTAAGATGGATTGATGAATGGATTAATCATACAGAAAGCATACAGTGTATTCATAGTATAGTATAAGAAATACAGTAAAAATTGTAAATGCAGAGTGTAAGTGGTGGGTATATGGATGGTCCCTGTAAAAGTCTTTCAACTTTTCTGTTGCATCATCCTTAGGTAATCTATAGCAACACATAGGTTGATGTCAGATGTGCAAAGTTAGTATTTCAATATGGTATCAATGTTGTTAATTCTTGTTAAAATCTGACTGTTAGGCTGGGCATGTTGGCTCATGCCTGTAACCCTAGTACTTTGGGAGGCCAAGGCGAGAGGATTTCTTGAGCTCAGGAGTTCAAGACTATCCTGGGCAACATAGTGAGACCTTGCCACTACAAAAAATTAAAACAGCTGGGTATGGTGATGTGTGCCTGTAGTTCCAGCTGCTTGAGTGGTGGAGGTGGGAGGATTGCTTGAGCCCTGAAGGCAGAGGCTGCAGTGAGCCATGATCGTGCCACTGCACTCCAGCCTGGGTGACAGAGCGAGACCCTGTCACAAAACAAAACAAAGAAACAAAAAATCCTAAGCGTTATATAGAATCCCTATTGTACTCCGTAATGAGATGAGGAGTGACCGTGAGAATCATTTGAATCACAAGAGCATCTCTGATTATCTTACAGCAAAGATTGTAACAGAATCATTGAACTTAAAAGATGGGTTGGCTAGGCATGGTGGCTCATGCCTGTAACCTCAGCACTTTGAGAGGCTGAGGTGGGTGGATGGCTTGAGTCCTGGAGTTCAAGACCAGCCTGGGCAACATGGTGAAACCCAATCTCTACGAAAAAAAAGCTGGACATGTGTGAATTTGAGGCCAGTTGCAGTATGTTATGTTCATGCCACTGCACTCCAGTCTGGGTAACAGAGTGAGACCCTGTCTTTAAAAAAAAAAAAAAAAAGAGTGAAGCATGTTTTTTTAAAAGACAAGAGATGTCAAATTTGCTGACCCTTTTTGTATGACAAGTGACTATGTAATCTGCATTGCCGATTAAACACCAAGCAACCAACCAATCAATGTAACACTCTTACTTCATTTCTTCAAGGTAAAGGTAATGTTTTAACAAGCAGTGAAAATGTAACTGCCTTTTATAAAGGCTGGGATAAAAACACATCTATGTTTTTAAAATCACTGTTTGGAATATTTCTTTTATCATGTGATTTTTGTTGTCAAAGATATGTGTGTCTTATGAAAACTTACCTGCACTCTTAAAAAATACTTGGAAAAATATTTTGTATACTCTTCAAAAATGTTCCCAATAGAGTTTCAGTCAGTGGGGGGAAGAGGGAATAGGTGAAGGAGAGATGTTGGTAAAAGGGTCTCAAGTTTGTTAGACAGTAGGAATAAATGTTGGTGATTTATTGTACAGCATGGTAACTATAGTTAGTAATAATGTTGTGTATTTCAAATTGCTAAGAGTAGATTTTGAGTATTCTCACCAAGAAAAGATAAGTATATGAAGTGATAGGTATGTTAATTAGCTTGATTTAACCATTCTACAATGTACTATAAACATATTTCAAAATATCATATTGAACTCCATAAATATATATTATTATTTATCAATTAAAAAATATTAAAACAAGTAAAACCCATGATACATATCTGGTGGCAAATGAGTATTGTGGTAGAAATTCATCAAACTGCTCAGATGTGATTCGTGTACTTTTCTGGCTGATTGTCATACTTCAGTAAAAATAAATAAATGTAAGCACACACAAAAAAGTTTCAGTGGGTTTTTAAACCAGTTAAAAATGTTAAAATGTGGCATGTTTTGCTTAGTCTGCAAGATCAATTGATGTGAAGGAAGATGGAACTTTCTTAACCAAAGATCAATAAAAACATTTGCATAATTGATGGAAGGTATTGAAAAATGCGAGTAGTAATTTAGTTAAGTCCAACAAATGATGTATTTCTTTAATGTCAATCCTTGCATCTTTGTAATTATCCCCTTTCAGCTATGCAGCCATTACAGTTAAGTTCTGAAATAAGTGGAACTTAGGACCTGACATTTCAATCACCGAATCACAAAATGTTCACGTTATTATTTTTTAAAAATACAATTTGGTTTCTTATTATTTTCATTATTATCATTGCTCTACTAAAAATGGTAAGCTTTTATGAGAGCAAAAAGATCTTTTATATACGTAATAAATATTATAAAATGATTTTTAATGTTTGTGATTTTTAATTCATACTTCGTGTGTGTTTTATACTGTATAGGATATATTAGTAAAATAGTATGTATATAATAAATATGCATATATTGGAGGGTTGTACTAAATTTTGTTTAGATTACTTTTTTTGGCTGATTTGTTGGGGTATGTGGTCAAAGAAGTTTGGAGAACTGTCTTTACTGATCACTCATAATCTGGCAAGCTATTATTGACAGGAGTAATTATTTACTCTTAAGGTGTAAATGATCATTGTAAAGATTATAAACCAGCACATAGTTTTAAATATGGGAATTTTTTTTTTTTTTTTTTTTGAGAAATGGTCTTGCTTAGTTGCCCTGGCTGGTCTAGAACTCCTGGGCTCAAGTGATTCTCTTGCCTCAGCCTCTGGAGTAGCTGGGATTACAGGCATGTGCTAAACATTTGTGTTTTAAGGTTGAACTTTGATAAATGAAGTTTGTCTTTAGACTAAATTCTGAAACGATGGTTCTCAAAGTATATAATAACATCAGCATTACCTGGGAACTTACTAGCAATGTAAATTCTCAGGCCATAACCCAGACCTACTGAACCAGAAATGCTGGTTAACAAGCTTTCTAGGTGAATCTAATGCTCACTGAAATCTGAGAACCACAGATCTAGATGATTTAGACTCATGGATCATTCCTACTTATTTCTTCTTACTTTATAATGTATTTGAGACAGTTTCTTTATTGTATGTCTCAGTTTTAGCCCAGACTTTTTTTCCTCTCTTAGATTTTTTTTTCTTTTCCCTTCCTCTCCTCTTCCCTTCCTCTCAATGTAAAAAAAAAAAGTCCTTTAGTGTTGTTTTCACAAAGAAATAGTGCATTGGTTCTAAAAATTTGGGTGTCACAACTAATGTGACAAATAGCATATATTTAAAGGAGATATTTCTAAACATTTTCAAATTAATTTTGTTAACTACTGTATTAGTTCGTTCTCACGTTGCTATAAAGAACTGCCTGAGACTGGGTAATTTATGAAGAAGAGAGGTGTAATTGACTCACAGTTCTGCAGGCTTAACAGGAGGCATGGTTGGGAGGCCTCAGGAAACTTACAGGGGAAGCAAGCACATCTTACTATGGCAGAACAGGAGAGACAGAGAGAGAGAGAGAGAGAAAGAGAAAGTGCCCCACACTTTTAGACCATCAGATCTTGTGAGAACTCACTGTCATGAGAACAGCAAGAGGGAAACTGCCACATGATCTAATCACCTCCCACCAGCCCCTCCTCCAGTACTGGGGATTACAATTCAGCATGAGATTTGGATGGGGACACAGAGCTGAACTACTTCTAGTTACACTTGAATATGGATATAATTAATTTCCTATTATTTCCTGCCTATACTCTTTTGGTTTCAACTTTTATAATCTCAAAATAGTTTTCTGCCAATGAAGATTTCAAAACAGACATTTCAAAGTAGGAGTCACCTAAACTCAACAGTTGTTTGTAAAACAATGAATTTGCTTTATTTCTCTTTCTACATACATATATGCATACACATACACATTTTTATTTGCTGAACTGTTTGAAAGTAAATTGTATACATCAGTACGCTTCACCCCTAAATACTCTTAAAAATATGGATTAAAGTAGCCCTTAATGGGACTAGTACAACATTGTTTTGAAATGCTAATTTGTAACAAATGCTCAACCATTTATTAAAGACTCTTAAATATTTTTAAGGTCCTAGTATAAGTATCTTTATGAGGAAAAGGTGTAGAATGCCAAGTTATGATGGTATAAATAAGTGAATGTTTCAGCCTTTCTCAACTAAAAGTTTCTCATCTGAACTACAAATTACAGTGGATGATTTGAGTGACTATTTTCTCAGTTCCTCCAAGGATAGTACATAACTAGTGCCAATTCAGATGCAGAGGGGAGAAGTTAATTCATTACATACGATGGATGTCTTGGGCTTAATTCTCTCCTGGGAACCCAGGTTATTTGGACTGCATATATGGCAAGGCCTTAAAAGGATTTTGCTTTGACTGGCTTGTGATGTTTATCCAAATAACATTTTTTTTTTAGATTACAGGTCCACCAGGTTGTGGAAAAACTCAGTTTTGTATAATGATGAGCATTTTGGCTACATTACCCACCAACATGGGAGGATTAGAAGGAGCTGTGGTGTACATTGACACAGAGTCTGCATTTAGTGCTGAAAGGTATGAGATTTTATTTTCTATTATAATGTTTTACTTTTGTAACTTATATACAGCATGAAACATTTAGACATAGGTTAACATCCCCCCTCCACCCCCCCTTTTTTTTTCTGAGATGGAGTCTTGCTCTGTCGCCAGGCTGGAGTACAGTGGCGCGATCTGGGCTCATGGGAGTCTCCACCTCACGGGTTCAAGCAATTCTCCTGCCTCAGCCTCCCGAGTAGCTGGGACTACAGGTGTGCGCCACCATGCCCGGCTAATTTTTGTATTTTTAGTAGAGACAGGGTTTCACCATGTTGGCCAAGCTGGTCTTGAACTCCTGACCTCAAGTGAACTGTCTGCCTCGGCCTCCCAAAGTGCTAGGATTACAGGTGTGAGCCACTGTGCCTGGCTTTTTTTTTTTTTTTTTTTTTTGAGATGGAGTCTCTCTCTGTCGCCTAGACTGGAGTGCAGTGGCGTGATCTCGGCTCACTGCCACCTCTGCCTCCCAGGTTCAAGCGATTCTCCTGCCTCAGCCTCCCGAGTAGCTGGGATTAAAGACGCCTGCCACCAGGCCTGGCTAATTTTTGTATTTTTCATAGAGATGGGGTTTCACCTTATTGGCCAGACTGGTCTCAAACTCCTGACCTTGTGATCCACCCGCCTCGGCCTCCCAAAGTGCTGGGATTACAGGCATGAGCCACCATGCCCGGCTACCACCCCCTTTTTTAAGAACACAGAATGCTGTTTTAAATAAAATTTTCTTTTAAAATTCACACAGGAAACAGTTTCTTTTTGTCTTTTGTATTCCTTATTGATATAAGTAGGGATCTTGGCTAAACTGTGTTTTGCAGAAAGTCAGGAAGATGTTAAGTTGAAAAAATAAGGAGGAATTTAAGTAGAAAATGGGACAAAGGGTAAACTAAAAAGAAAAACAGCAGGTTAGCTGCTTTATAAGGACAGATGTTTCTCAACTTACAATGGGACTCTGATTATGAAATCCAGATACCATTTCTTAATAAAAGGAACGAGTGTTCCTTGGGGAAATGGCTAACTCAATTCTGGGGTAGGAAATTTTAAAGTTGAGTGTGAAACATCATATTAGTTAGCGAGGAAGCTACAAAGACTATTTGGGGGTGTCCAACAGACTCAGAAGAGGCTCCCACTGGCCAAAGACGGAACAAATTGCAGATCAATGTGAATAATAATAGCAGTGGATTAAAACATGAAATAATTAAATGAGTCCATAATGACTTTAAGAGATGAAAAGGAACCAATTGATTGTCATTGGAGGGTTCTGAAGAAGCAACTCATTATTGTGAAAATGAGCAAAAAGAGAAGTCAAGTATCTATTTTTCTGTTTTTATATGAACTTTGTTACTGAGTAATAAACTGATCTTTTTTTTTTTTGAGACGGAGTTTTGTTTTTGTTGCCCAGGCTGGAGTTCAGTGGCACGATCTCCATTCACTGCAACCTCTGCCTTCTGGGTTCAAGTGATTGTTGTGCCTCAACCTCTGAGTGGCTCCCAAGCGTGCGCCACCACACCAGCTAATTTTTGTAGTTTTAGTGGAGACAGGGTTTCACCATGTTGGCCAGGCTAGACTTGAACTCCTGACCTCAGATGATCTGCTTGCCTTGGCCTCCCAAAGTGTTGGGGATTACAGGTGTGAGCCGCTGCGCCTGGCCTAAATTGGTCTTTTTATAAATGTATCCCAGTAGTAAATGAATAAGGAATGTTAGAATATTACCAAATTACAAACTCTGACAATCTAATGGATCTAGGCATTTAACATCACGAAAAGATGACCAGTCACTGGGGTACTTTCTGATGGAAGAACAATCAAATTTGAATGTGATCAAGGCTTCAGATCCAGCCACCAGTTTATAACATAGCTAGGGAAGAGAGGAACACGTCAAACTACTCTAGAAAATTCAATTAGCAGAATCCAAACTGTGGGAAATAACAGAACAAGCAACTTGGTTTCTGTAACAAATAAATTGTAAGATTAAAAAATAGTTGGAAGGGGAACCTTTGGATTAAAACAGATTTAAAAACCTTGTTGATCAATTGCTGTGTGATGAACTTATTTGGATCTTGACTTAAATAAGTGGCTAAAAAAAAAAAAGAACCAAAGAATAAACTTTGAGACCACTGGAAATTTGAACATGAAAATATATTTGAGATTAAAGCTGGTAAAGACAGTGGTTCACTCAAATTGTCCAAGTACTCTTTAAAATGCCAATGACTAGCCTTCAACTAACAAGCCAAGTAGGTATTAAATAGCCAGTTATGTCATAAATAGCTAATGTGCAAATAGCTCTTACAAAGGTCCTGGGGAATTTGGGTAAATAATTCAAAGATTAAGATTATTTTTATAACAGCAGTTCAGTTCACTGTAATGGATTTCTGCTTTCTGTGCACCACATACAAAACTGAGTTTAGGATGTCTTCTTAAGGAGTAAACTGTTGCATCTGTAATTTGTGATTATCTCTAATATGGACAATATATTGTTAATTCAGTTCATGTGTACTAGAATTCTAATGGTTGCCAAAATTTTCATAGACTAGAATGTGGGGATGGGTCACTGGATTAATCAATTTATCTACATTCTCAAGGTATGTACAAGCATATGCTACCTAAGACTATATCATATCTTAAGCAGAAGTCCAGTGGGTTAAACAAAACAAATAAAAAACTAGCAGATCTTCTCTGGATCAATCAGATCTAGTATTACAGGTCAGAGCAGTGTAAAAACCTTATCAATGAATTGGGTGATATCTGCATACATACTGTAGCAGAAGAGTAGCAGGTGACTTGTCTGCATTTTCCAAATGAATTTATGGAGAGTCTTATGTTTTTTGTCTTTGCATAGAGCCTTAATTATTTACTTTTTGCATCCTCCATATTTACTTATTTCTCCTTCATATCTTTTTCTGCCTATGTGCATGTTGGTATTTACATCAGAGGCAGGTTGGAAAATGAAGAGGTAAGATTTTAGTTCCTTTGTTGGAATTATGTTGCATAGTTCACAAGGAGCTCTTATGAAGCTCATTTGAGAATAGGTGTTGAACTTTATATTGTATTTGGTTTTTTATTCCATTCTCCACAAGGCTTAAAATGAGTGATTGATGGACATTTGGGTTGGTTCCAAGTCTTTGCTATTGTGAATAGTGCCGTAGTAAACATACATGTGCATGTATCTTTATGGCAGCATAATTTATAATCCTTTGGGTATATACCCAGTAATGGGATGGCTGGGTCAAATGGTATTTCTAGTTCTAGATCCTTGAGGAATTGCCACACTGTTTTCCACAATGGTTGAACTAGTTTACAGTCCCACCAACAGTGTAAAAGTGTTCTTATTTCTCCACATCCTCTCCAGCACCTGTTGTTTCCTGACTTTTTAATGATCACCATTCTAACTGGTGTGAGATGGTATCTCATTGTGGTTTTGATTTGCATTTCTCTGATGGCGAGTGATGATGAGCATTTTGTTGGGTGCATAAATCTTTTGAGAAGTATCTGTTCATACCCTTTGCCCACTTTTTGATGGGGTTGTTTGTTTTTTTCTTGTAAATTTGTTTGAGTTCTTTGTCGGTTCTGGTGTACAGCACGGCAACTATAGTTAATAATACTGTATTATATACTTGAAATTTGCTAAGAGATCAGATCTTAAGTGTTCTCACCATACCAAAAATAAAATGGTAACCATGTGAAAAAAAAAAAATGAGCGATCATCTGGCTCCCACATGGAATGGATTTTGAGGTCTGGTGATAGGGCCAGGTAGAATAAAAAATAGGAATGCTCTTTGATATATATGCCAGACTTGGCATTCTTATACCACCTTCTAGTTTGTCATGGTGGGTCATAGAATGGAGCTGGCCCTGTAGTGTCTGATCACATTTCCTTCATTCTGTTACAGGACAGCTTAACCCCTATTTGGAATTATCAGGAAAGGTTGGTCAGTCGGTTAGGAAAGCTTACTGCTGCAGATAACTGACTACCCAAAGAACAGTGGCTTAAACAAAAACAGGTTTATTTCTCTCTTATAACAAGACCTGAGTAGGTGGTTGCTGGCACTGGGTCACTCAGGTCTCAGTGATGACAGGGAGACCTAGGGCATGTACATTTTCAGACATTGGATTCATTCTGTGCTCAAGAATGGGAAGGAAAAGGGCCAACTATATCTTTTATCAGGAAAGTGTACTTTTATTCAGAATATCTGCCTCCTCCCTTCTGTGGATTTCCTTTTTGCTGCCTGTAGTCCTCTTGCAGATTTCTCACTGAGTCACCTCTGTATGTAAAAAGAGGCTGGGAAAGTGAGGGGAGAAGATTGTCATAACAATCATGATGAGTTGTCTGGTTAATATTGCTGCCTGAATAAAACTGGGGCTCTCATAGCAAGGAAGAAGTAGAAATGGATATTGGATTGGTAATTAACAGTTTCTGTCCCAGCCCCAGCTGTTTCTGGACTTAGAGAAGAGGCAAGCTAGGGAAATATGAGAGTCAGAAAGGACTATGTTGTAGCTCTGTATGTTTTAGCATTGTCTCCACTTTGTGCTTACAAAGCTAGCCAGCTAATCAGCACAAATGAGAATGTGTTTAAAGGATTAATATGATGAAGGATTAAAGGATTCACATATATAGAATTTAGGGTAAGTGAGAAAAAGTAGAAAATAATTTCTTCCTATAAATATCTAGATATCTTTTTACTAAGAAGGAGGGAGAAATCAAAGGAGGAATAAATAAAAATTACTTAAGTTTATAATGTATTACAGAAAACCAAAAGAAAACCCTGCAGATAATATACTTAAAAGCACTTTGGAAAGGTCAGTTCTATTTTTAGAAGCAATGCACTAAGTAGTTTATGGTCTTTTAGAAGATAGTAATCTAAATAGTTGTTAATCATACTTGTTCATCATAGACCACAATTGTATCTCCAGACTATTTAACAATTAGAACAGGTTTGTCCAACCCACAGCCCATGGGCCACATGCAGCCCAGGATGGCTTTGCATGTG